TCCCAGCAACTACAACTCCCAAATGTCAAAGTCTATTTTCCCCAAACTCCACCAGTGTTCACATTTGGGCATACTGAGTATTCATGCCAAGTTTGGTCCAGATCCATCATTGTTTGAGTCCACAGTGCTCTCTGGATGTAGGTGAACTACAACTCAAACTCAAGGTCAATGCCCACCAAACCCTTCCAGTATTTTCTGTTGACCATGGGCGTTCTGAGTGCCAAGTTTGGTTCAATTCCATTGCTGGTGGAGTTCAGAATGCTCATTGATTGTAGGTGAACTATAAATCTCACAACTACAACTCCCAAATGACAAAGTCTATTTTCCCCAAACTCCACCAGTGCACACATTTGGGCATATTGGGTATTCATGCCAAGTTTGGTCCATATCCATCATTGTTTGAGTCCACAGTGCTCTCTAGATGTAGGTGAACTACAACTCCCAAACTCAAGTTCAATGCCGACCAAACCCTTCCAGTATTTTCTGTTGATCATGGGTTCTGTGTGCCAAGTTTGGTTCAATTCCATTGTTGGTGGAGTTCCGAATACTCTTTGATTGTAGGTGAACTATAAATCCCAGCAACTATAACTCCCAAATGACAAATCAATCCCCCAATTCCCCCAAACCCCACCAGTATTCAAATTTGGAATTGTCGGGTATTTATGCCCAATTTGGTCCAGTGAATGAAAATACATCCTGCATATCACGATATTTACATTACGATTAATAACAGTGGCAAAATTATAGTTATGAAGAAGCAACGAAAATAATTTTATGGCTGGGGGGGTCACCATAACACAAGGAACTGTATTAACGGGTCACGGCTTTAGGAAGGTTGAGAAGCACTGGGCTTCTCAATCCTGGCTGGACTGCTGACTGAAATCGGGGACGGGGTGAGCTCCCATATGTCAGCCCCAGCTTCTCATGCAAGGACATGAGAGAAGACTCCCACAGGTCAGGTCGTCCCCTAGGCAACGTCCTTGCAGACTGCCAATTCTCTCACACCAGAACCGACTTGAGAAGTCGCTCCTGACAGGAAAATGGGTTCCACCTGTGTTTGTTGCCTCCAATGGTTGGTGTTGGGATCCCAAACTGGAGTGAGTGGCATTGAGGCGGCAAGCCCAATAAGCCACAGGTCCCCTGGAGTAAAGGCCACTGTGGATCTACTCCTGGGTAGGTTTGTGCTGTAAAGGGAGTAAACCAGGAGGAAATCGAGGGCTCAAAAGTTTGGGGAGCTTCAGAAGACCTTTCTGGCGCCTCTCTGTATTGCCAAAGGTGGAAGGGATCAACAGCCAAGACCAGAACAGATTGTGATCCCACATGCCCGCTTGAATCCAAGGAATCTGAGATCCTTCAGCCTGTCTTGAGCCCACCGCACAAAGAACACCTTAAAGACATGTAACAAAATTTGAAAAACGTTCTGTTCCTGCTTTGAAAGCGTCATTTCCTGTTGAATTGTGCAATCGTTACTTTGAAAGTAGTTTTTCTACTCCCGTTTTTGTGGCTGCCTTCCAAACAGCTGAATAAAAACCCACATTTTCTGCTTTGAACTGGAATATATGGCAGTGTGGACTCAGATAACCCAGTTCAAAGCACATATTGTGGGATTTTATTCCTTGAGATTCTGGGGGACATTATCTGCGTCCACATTCAGATAATGTCGGATTTCCTGCCTTGATATTCTGGGGGTCCTCCTACACAGCCCTATATCTGCTTTGAACTGGATTATCTGAGTCCACACTACCATATATTCAAAGCAGAGATTCTGGGATTTTATTTAGCCGTGTGGAAGGGGCCTGGGGCCCTACCACACAGGCCTATAGCCCAGGATATCAAGGCAGAACATCCTACAATATCTGCTTTGAACTGGGTTATTTGAGTCCACACACAGATAATGTGGGTTTTTCTGCCTTGATATTCTGGGATGTAGGCCTGTGTGGAAGGGCAGTATGTTGAATTGCGACCAGAGGAGATATTCAGAGAAAAACTATCACAACACGTCCTTGCAAATAAACAAAAACAACAACAAACAAAAGAAAACCAACAAAACAAAAACAAACAAAACAAAAACAACAAGGGATTGGTCCAATCTTATCTAGTATTTTATATTGTGATTGAGGGCCTTTCCTAACAGCCACATAACCCGGAATATCAAGGCAGATAATCCACAATATCTGCTTTACACTGGTTTATCTGAGTCGACACTGCCCTATAATCCGGTTCAATGTGGATTTTATACAGCTGTGTAGAAGGGGCGTCGAGTGTTTTACTCAACACAGTCTTGCTATCCTAAAATGCTAATTTGGGCCCCCTACACATAGCCATATTATATAGGGCTTTCCACACAGCCCTATATCCCAGGAAAATCCCACAATATCTGCTTTGAATTAGATTATCTGAGTCCACACTACACTGAGTCCACACTACATATAGTCAAAGCAGAAATTGTGGGATTTTATTCAGCTGTGTGGAAGGGACATGGGGCCTTCCACACAGCCCTATATCCCAGGATATTAAGGCAGAAAATCCCACAATATCGGCTTTGAACTGGGTTATCTGAGTCCACATTCAGATAATGTCGAGGGTCCTTCTACACAGCCTTATATCCCAGAATATTAAGGCAAAAAATCCCACATTATCTGAGTGTAGACCCAATTAATCCAATTCAAAGCAGATATTTTGGGATAGAGGGCTGTGTAGAAGTCCACACTGCCATATATCCCAGTTCAAAGCAGATCCTCATCACACTAGAGAATGAATCCACTTTAAATCGGGTTGCTGCCTCCTGCAGAATTCTGGGATTTGTGTTTGAGGGAGGACCCTTTAACAGCATCACTGAACTACAAACCCCAGAATTCTGCAGAAGGAAGAAACCGGATTTAAAGTGGATTAATTCCCTGAAGTGTATTGGGATTTTATTCAGCTGTGTGGAAGGGCTCCTAGAGAGTCCCTACGGGAAGAAAAGTGGGGTATAAATAAATTAATCTAATCTAATCTAATATAAATAAAAATGTAATGTTCATTTGTGGGATTAACAGAACTCAAAAACCACTGGACGAATTGCAGCCAAATTTGGCCACAAGACACTTTCTAACCCAAGGAGTGACCATCACTCAAAAAAAATGATTTTGTCATTTAAGAGTTGTAGTTGCTGGGATTTATAGTTCACCTACAATCAAAGAGCATTCTGAACTCCACCAACGATGGAATTGAACCAATCTTGGCACATAGGACTCCCATGGTCAACAGAAAATTCTGGAAGGGTGTGGTGAGCATTGAACTTGAGTTTGGGAGTTGTAGTTCACCTAATCCAGAGAGCACTCTGGACTCAAACGATGATGGATCTGGACCAAACTTGGCACGGATATTTCATTTGCCCAAATAGGAACACAGAGTTTGGGGGAAATAGACCTTGATATTTGGGGGTTGTAGTTACTGAGATTTACAGTTCACTTAGAATCAAAGAGCATTCTGAACCCCACCAACGACAGAATTGGGGCAAACTTCCCACACAGAACCCCCACGAGCAACAGAAAACACTGAAGGCCATCCAGTCCAACTCCCTTCACAAGAGCAAGAAAACATAATCAAAGCCCTCCTGACAAAGAGCCATCCAGCCATAGATATAAATAGATAGGTATGATTCACGCACACGGAGATATAGTATTATAGATTTGAAAGGGACCCCTAAAGAAGGACTATATGTTGTATGTTCCAGAGTAGGCAAACCAGACAATCTCCACATCAACACTGGCAAAGACACAGCAATAAATTCTGTTTACTCACAAGCATAAAGAAATGACATATATTAGAAACCAACACTTTCTCATCACTTCATTTTCCAGATCACCAGACTGGGCCACAGCAACACATGGCAGGGGATGGCTAGTATGAGAATAAGTTGTTTGCATAGCTACTTGGAATAAATAGTTAAATGTAATATTTTTGCCATGACAAGTCCCTGGTTGATCTATACAAATGTGTCAGCAATTTTTCTAGCCCAAGGCTACAATAAGTTTTTGAAAATGTGTCCAAACATATAGTTTCTCTATTAACCATCTCAGAGATGTAGATGATTCACACACACGGAGATATAGTATCATAGATTTGAAAGAGACCCCTAAAGTAGGACAATTATATGTTGCATGTCAGCAGGCCCGTAGCCAGGATTTCGTTTGGGGGGGGGGGGTAAAATATTTCAGGGGAGTTTGTTTTTGGGGGGCTGAGTCTGAGTGAAAGAGGGTCTACCCTAGCAAACTTTTGTATCATTACCCCAATACCCCCATGCATATGGGATATATTGAGCATGGTGATCAGATCATGATATGAATAAACATAACAGTTTAAATAATGTACCAGTAAGGCCTTTTCGCGGACCACCATGAGAATTTCGGGGGGGGGGGTGAAGCCCCTCAAGCCCCCCCCTCTACATGCCTGCATGTCAGACAATCTTCACATCAACACTGACAAAGAAACAACAAATACTGGTTACCCACCAGCATTAAGAAATTGCATATATTGGAAACCAACACTTTCTCATTACTTTATTTCCCAGATCACTAGACTGGGCCACAGCGACGCGTGGCAGGGCACGGCTAGTAATAATAATAATAGACAGATAATGCAAGGTTCATCCTGAGACTGCATCATAGAGCTGTCTGGGATCTAGTTGCCTGAATGGTGAAGTGGGCCCAGCCTGACTTCCCCAAGGCGCCTTTCGGGAGAGTGGCGGGGCTTTTCCGGAGCCTTCCGCGTCCCTTCTGCGGCGGGGATCCCAATGGGAATGGCATCCCCCTCGGCTGTTTGTTTGGGCTGGGAGGGGCGGGGCCAGGAGGGGGCAACCTGGGGAGGGGGGAGGAGGGGGCGGGGCTTCTTGGGGCCAGGCCACCCGCGGCAATTAAGGCTGAACTTTGGGTGAACTAATTGTTCGGACCAAGGTAAAGTGGGCAGCGACCTGCGGAGGGAGGGAAGGGGATGGGGAGGGGAGCCTGGAAGCCTGGAAGGCAGGGGTATAAAAGGAGCCCCCGCGAGAAAGGGAAAGCAGGTGGCGGCGAGTCCGAGGGGCAGAAGAGAGCTCAAGCTTCCTCTCGATCCACTCCTCTCTCTCTTTTTCCGGCATGGGCTTCTTCTCCTCCTTGCTGACCAGCGCCTTGGGCAGCTTCGTGCTCCTCCCGCTGCTCCTCTTCCTGCTCTCGGTCAAGCTCTGGGGCTTGTACTGCCTGCGGGGCCGCGACCCGGGCTGCCCCTTGCCCCTGCCCCCCGGCACCATGGGCCTGCCTTTCTTCGGAGAGACGCTCCAGTTGGTCCTCCAGGTAAAGCACCGCCCGGAGGAGCCAACACAAGAGAAGGAGGAGCTCGCCTCCCCTCGGCCTGGGTTTCATGCCTTCCTTTCTCTCTCTCTCTCTCTCTTTCCCGCAGCGGCGCAAGTTCCTCCAGATGAAGCGGCGCAAGTACGGCTTCGTGTACAAGACGCACCTCTTCGGCAAGCCCACGGTGCGCGTGATGGGCGTGGAGAACGTGCGCCACATCCTGCTGGGCGAGCACCGGCTGGTGGCCGTCCAGTGGCCCGCCTCGGTCCGCACCATCCTCGGCGCCGGCTGCCTCTCCAACCTCCACGACGCCCAGCACAAGCACCGCAAGAAGGCAAGAAGGGCCCCCGGGGCAAGGGAGGGGGCAAGGGACGGGGGAAAAGGGCGCGCGCGCTCCTGGCCCGGATCGGGGCCTGGCCGGAGAGAGGGAGAGCGGCGCCCCTCATCCCGGAGACTCACTACCGTGCAATGGACTTCCAACTGCGTTGTGTTCTCAGGGTAGAGACTCACAGTGTAGAGTCTCACCCATGCTTTCCCCTCTCAGTTACCGCGTTATCTCCGCAGGGTACAGACTCACAGTGTAGAGTCTCACCCATGCTCTCCCCTCTCACTTGTATCTATCCACTGCCATGCAATGCACTTCCAACTGCATTATCTCCTCAGGGTAGAGAACCACAGTGTAGAGTCTCACCCATGTTTTCCCCTCTCAGTTACCGCGTTATCTCCTCAGGGTAGAGAATCACAGTGTAGAGTCCTCGCTCATGCTTTCCCCCCTCAATTATATCTCTGCACTGCTATGCAATGCATTTCCAACTGCGTTATCTCCTCAGGGTAGAGACTCACAGTGTAGAGCCTTACCCATGCGTTCCCCTCTCAATTATATCTCTCCACTGCTATGCACTTCATTTCCAACTGTACTCTCTCCTCAGGGTAGAGACTCACAGTGTGAAGTCCTCACCCATGCTTTCCTCTCTCAATTATCTCTCTCCACTGCCATGCAATGCACTTCCAACTGCATTATCTCCTCAGGGTAGAGACTCACAGTGTAAAGTCTCACCCATGCTTTTCCCCTCTAAATTATCTCTCTCTCCAGTGCCATGCAATGCACTTCCAACTGCATTATTTCCTGTGTAGAGTCTCACCCTTACTTTCTCCTCTCAATTATTTCTCTCCACTGCTATGCAATGCACTTCCAACTGCAGATCTCCTCAAGAGTAGAGACTCACAGTATAGAGTCTCACCCATGCTTTCCCCTCTCAATTATCTTTCTCCACTACCATGTAATGCACTTCCAACTGTATCATCTCCTCAGTGTATAGACTCACTGTCTTGTCTCCACAGCCATGTAATGCATGTCCAACTGCATTATTTCCTCAGGGTAGAGACTCACAGTGTAGAGTTTCACCCATGCTTTCCCCTCTCAATTATATCTCTCCACTGCCATGCAGTGCACTTCCAACTGCATTATCTCCACAAGGCAAAGTCCTAACTGCATTATCTGTCTCTCCATTGCCCTGCAATGCACTGCCAACTACATCATCTCCTCAGTGTGTAGAGTCACTGTATTCTCTCTCTCCATTGCTATGCAATGCATTTTCAACTGTATTATCTCCTCAGTGTAGTCTCACTTCGCTGTCTCTCTTCACTGCCATGCAATGCACTTCCAACTCACAGAGACTCACAGCATAGTCACCCATGCTTTCCCCTCTCAGTTATCTCTCTCCACTGCCATGCAATGCACTTCCAACTGCATTATTTCCTGTGTAGAATCTCACCCTTACTTTCCCCTCTCAACTATCTCTCCACTGCTATGCAATGCACTTCCAACTGAATTATATCACCAGTGTAGTCTTAATTGCATTCTCTATCTCTTGCAATGACATGCAATGCACTTCCAACTGCATTATCATCTCAGTGTAGCCTCACTGTATTATCTCTCCACTGACATGCAGTGCACTTCCAACTGCGTTATCTCTTCAGTGTAGAGACTCTCAGTGTAGAGACTCGCAGTGTAGAGACTCGCAGTGTAGAGTCTCATCCTTACTTTAGCCTCTCAATTATCCCTCTCCACTGCTATGCCATGCACTTCCAACTGCATTATATCCTCAGTGTAGAGTCTCACTACATTGTCTCTCCCCCATGTAGTTAACTTTGAAGCCTGTGATATCAGTGTAGAGACTTAACCGCATTGTATGTCATTATACTGCCAGGCAATACACTTTGAACTGCTTTAACTCACCAATGTAGAATCTAACTACAGTATATGTCTCTACTTTGCCATGCAAGGCACATCTATATCATCAGTGTAAAGTCTTAACTGCATTATATGCCTCTGTGCTGCCATGCAATACACTTCCAACTCTATTATCTCTCTCCACTGCCATGCAATGCATTTATTTCCAACTGCATTGTATCACCAGTGTAGTCTTAACTGCATTATCTGTCTCTACACTGCCATGCAATACACTTAACTGCATTATATCCTCAGTGTAGAGGATATAACTGCTTTATATGCATTTACACTGCCATACAATACACTTCCAACTGCATTATCTTGTCTGTGTGGGATCTCCACTGCCATGCAATTAACTGCATTTACTCACCAGTGTAGAGACTTTCCTGCATTATATGTCTTTACACTGCCATGCAATACACTTTGAACTGCAGTCTATCCCCAGCCTCGGGTCAGTAGAGTCTAACCACCTTATCACATAGAGAAATTTTGCAGTTGTAAGTCACTTCAGCCTTGTTTCAAGCATGGAGATTGGAGAGGCACTGAGCTCATCTCATGAGTTAAACTACTTCTGGCTATCAGTCATAGCCCTTCATTGTGAAATTTCCTCCTGGCAGGACACTTCTGCCTCTCAGAGCTCCTGCCTCTTATCACACTTTACTCCCATGTTTACATCTGAAACCCGTCCTCAGCAGTCTCTTGTATTCTATGGGGTTTGATGTAGAACCCCATTATTATATTATAATTGTATGTTATAATTATATTTATAATTATATTTATATTTATATTATATAAATGTATGTATTTATATATGTAATACAATATACTACTAATAATATGATATTATAATATATTTTATATTACATGTAATATTACTAATATTACAGTATAATGTTATAGTACAATATAATATATAATACTAATATTGTGCTATGATAATAATAGAATATATTGCATTTACTTTTTACTTGGCAGCATATAAATTTCGTAAATAAATAAATAGAACCATAGGATCCCATGGAAAGCAACACTTTTTTTATCTTGGAGCTCTCTCTCTCTCTTGTATCCTATGGGGTTTGGGGCAGAACAATAGGATCCCATGGAAAGAAGTGGTTCCTTTAATGTAAATGGCTTTGGGCAGGGCAAGGGATGTCTTCGCTTTCAATATTGTTGTTTCACCTGATTAAAAAAAAGAAGAAGCAATACTGACTGTGATGAATGTAAGATTAAAGTATTGCTCTTAAATTAAATTTCCAATGTATGTTGGGGAGGCAGGACTTGAGGGGCGATTCTCTACTCTTAAAGGGACAGGTCACCCATGCTCTCCTCTCTCAATGAGATGAGGGCTGATATATATATATATATATATATATATATATATATATACTGAATTATATGCCTCTGTTCTGCCATGCAATGCACTTCCAACTGCATTAGATCTTCAGTGTAGCGTCTTACTGCATGATTTCTCTTCTCTGTATTGCCAAACTGCATTAGATCCTTGGTTTGTTTGTTTTGTGTGTGTCAGGAGTGACTTGAGAAACTGCAAGTCGCTTCTGGTGTGAGAGAACTGGCCGTCTACCAGGACGGGTGCCCAGGGGACGCCCAGATGTTTTGATGTTTTTACCATCCTTGTGGGGAGGCTTTTCTCATGTCTCTGCATGGGAAGCTGGAGCTGACAGAGGGAGCTCATACGCGCTCTCCCCAGATTTTGAACCTCGGTGTACAGTCTTAACTGCATTGTATGACTCTACACTGACAATCTAATGCAGTTCCAAAGTGGCAGTCCAAAGCAAATAAGCGCTTTCCAGACTTGAGAGGTGTTGGGAAATGCTTTCCAGCTTCAAACTCCCTGCAAAATCGCGGGAAAGAAAAGCCTGAATGCGCACCAATGCGATTGGTGTCACGGCCATCCGGGCTTCCAACTGTTTCCAGGATTTCCTCTCTGAACCCCTTTCTTCCACCGCATTGGGAAGGCATTCAACAACAAGACCCACACAACATTTCCAGCCCTGGATAGGAATCCTTGTTATTCAATCGCAAGTCAGYGATTCATAGTTCAGCCCACAGATCCCTGATCTAGCGGTTCTCCCCCTCTTTAGAAGAGAATGAGTCCATCTCTCTCCCCCCCCCCCTTATTCAAAGTCCCCGACTCCTGTTTGCTTCTTTCCCCTGGCCTTGAGTTTACTCCCCAAGTATGTTTTTGTATTTGTATTCCCAAGGCCTCAAGAAGCGACTTGAGTCATTTCTGGTGTGAGAGAATTGGCCGTGATGTTTTGATTATTTATCATCCTTGTGGGAGGCTTCTCTCATGTCCCCCACATGGGGAACTGGAGCTGACAGAGGGAGCTCAACCTGCTCTCCCCGACTGAAACCTCTGACCTATCTGTCGTCATTCCTGCCAGCAGGGAGCTGGAGCTGACAGAGGGAGCTCAACCCTCTCTACTCGACTGAAATCTCTGACCTATCTGTCATAATTCCTGCCAGTGGGGAGCTAGAGCTGGCAGAGGGAGCTCAACCCGCTCTCCCTGACTGGAACCTTTGACTTGTCTGTCATCATTCCTGCCAACAGGGAGCTGGAGCTGACAGAGGGAGCTCAACCTGCTCTCCCCGACTGGAACCTCTGACCTGTCTGTCATCATTCCTTCCCAGGGCCCTTCCACACAGCCATATAACCCAGAATATCAAGGCAAAAAAATTCCCACAATATCTGCTTTGAGCTGGGTTATCTGAGTCCACACTGCCATATATTCCAGTTCAAAGCAGAAAATGTGGGGTTTTATTCAGCTGTGTGGAAGGGGTCCCAGAAAGCTTCCTTGTGGAGCAAATTTCCTTGAATTCGGTGAAAGTTAGTGTTCAGAAATTGGACCAGGTCCATTAACTGCTTGAACCTTCAGGAGGTTTGAGGCTGCTATTAAAAAAGTAAGATATAAAGATCCAGTCCAAACATCCCCCAACCTCTCTGCTGCCCTCTAGGTGATCATGCGGGCTTTCTCCCGAGAGGCGTTGGAGCACTACATCCCACCCATCCAGGAGGAGGTCAGTGCTTGCCTTCAACAGTGGCTCCTGGCCCCCGAGGGCCCCAACAGCACTGGAGGCTGCCTGCTGGTCTACCCGGAGGTGAAGCGTCTCATGTTCCGCATCTCCATGCGCATCCTGCTGGGTTTTCGCCCCAGCCAAGCCCACGCCCAGAGCGAGCAGTGCCTGGTGGAGGCCTTCGAGGAGATGATCCGCAACCTCTTCTCCCTGCCCCTCGATATGCCCTTCTGTGGCCTTTACAAGGTAAGGAAGGACGTTCCCCAAGAACGAAGTCTTCTTTCCCTTCCCAAATTGGAATGAGTCCAGAGGTTGGCATTGATCACCTCTCCGTGGTTCTTTCCACATGCCATACTGCAAATAATTGCATAGGGACCATGGGGGATGGGTTTATGGGGATGACATAAACCACAGAGCACTGATGCACAAGAGGGGCCTTCCTTCCCACACTTTTGTGGGAGTTTGTTGAACGGGTTCTGGATTTTGTAGAACTTCATTAAATGTTCAGTGTAGATGGTGTCAAAGGCACCCTTTCCCTCCCAAAACTGAGGTGGGCCAGAGTGGTTGCATTGGCCACTTCTCCAAAAATCTGGCAGAGAATCAGGACCATCCACACAGCAGTTTTCAATCTTTCTAATGCTGCGACCCCTTAATACAGTTCCTCATGTTGTGGTGACCCCCAACCATAAAACAATTTTTGTTGCTAATTCATAACTGTAATTTTGCTACTGTTATGAATCGAAATGTAAATATCTGATATACAGGATGTATTTTCATTCACTGGACCACATTTGGCACAAATACTTGATACACCCAAATTTGAATACTGGCAGGGTTGGTGGGGGGGGGGGTTGAGTTTGTCATTTGGGAGTTGTAGTTGCCGGGATAGGAGCCCCCGGTGGCACAGTGGGTTAAACTCCTGTGCCGGCAGAAATGAAGACCATCAGGTCGCAGGTTTGAATCCAGGGAGAGGTGGATGAGCTCCCTCTATCAACCCCAGCTTCTCATGCGGGGACATGAGAGAAGCCTCCCACAAGGATGATAAAAACATGAAATCATCCGGGCATCCCCTGGGCAATGTACTTGCAGACAGCCAATTCTCTCACACCAGAAGCGACTTGCAGTTTCTCAAGTCACTCCTGATACAACAAAAAAAAGTTGCCGGGATTTATAGTTCACCTACAATCAAAGAACATTTTAAACTCTACCAATGAGGGAATTGAACCAAACTTGGCACACAGAACTCCCATGACTAGCAGGAAATTCTGGAAGGGTTTGGTGTGCATTGACCTTGAGTTTTGGAGTTGTAGTTCACCTACATCCAGAGAGCACTGTGGACTCAAACTTGGCACAAATACTTAATATGCCCAAATATGGACACTGGTGGAGTTTGGGGGAAATAGACCTTGACATTTGGGAGTTGTCATTGCTGGGATTTGTAGTTCACGTAGAATCAAAGAGCATTCTGAATCCCAGCATCGATAGAATTGGGCCCAACTTCCCACACAGAACCCCCCTGTCTGTGTCTACTTGCAAGTCAATATTGCATTTTCTGATGGTCTTTGGCAACTCCTCTGACATCCCTTGTGACCCAACCCCAAAGGGTCCCACCCCTAGGTTGAGAAGCACTGATCTACACTGACCATTTATTGGAATTCGAACTTGGCTTCGAAATGCGGCTGCCGATTTTTGCTCTCTTCCTACCTAAGAGAGCAAAAGAAAGCCCTTCATGTGCATCATTGGTTTGTGTCCTCCCATCCGGACCGCAGATCGATTCCAGGATTTCCTATCAAATAATCTACACAGCCTTACAAATGACTCATAGTTAAGAACGGGAGTGAGACAACATGAAGTGAGAGAAATTTGCCCCTCGGAAGTGAAGTCACTTTTGGAAGAGATACCATTGGAAAATGGGGTCTCCACTGAAGCTTTATCTTCAATCCTTGTTTCTACAACAAGCCATTTTTTTTCCAAATCCAATGATCACAGGGACAGAAAGAGAAGGGAAGTCTTCTGAAGAGGGACACAGATAGCAAAACAAACTCCATAGGGATGGTAACCCTTCCCTATTCAATCCAATTTATATATATATATATATACACACACACACACACACACACACATACATACACACACACACACACACACATACATACATACACACATACACACACACACACACACAATCTCTGTGTGTGTATATTTGGCTGGAGTTACACTTAAAAATGCCCCTGTTCTGACTTGCATACAAATTCAACTTAAAAACAAACCTACCAGAACCTATCTGGTTCATTACTTGGAGACTGCATGTACTGGTTTGAAACTGTATTAGATGTTCAGTGTAGATGGGGGCTGGGTAAGGAAGGAAGTGGCACACACACACACCAGGCATGGGAGCTTCTCTTCCTTCTCCTGAGTCCACTCTGCTTGTAGGGCTTGAGAGCACGGGGCATAATCCATGCCAAAATCGAGGAGAACATCAGGGCGAAACTGGCCGGGAAGGAGCCTGCTGATGGCCACAAGGATGTGCTGCAGCTGCTGATGGAGCATACGCAGGGTGACGGGGAGCAGCTCAGCATGCAGGTGAGGCAGGGGACATCCCACACCTGCATTAAGTGGGGGGGGGGGGGTTCTGGGATCCATGATAGGGTCACCATAAGTCAGAAGCTGTTTGAAGACACAGGACCACAACAGTTTCTTCCAGGCATACCTGAGATGGGTGGGATTCCTGCTTTTCCTTGATTCTAAATTGAACAGGAATAGCTTGCATTCCCTCCAGCTCCCCACACTCTTTTGAAGTATTGCATTCTTCTAATGGAGGAAAATCCTACTTAGGGTACACAGGATTTGAGGGAAATGGAGGTAATGTAACAGGTAGTGCTTTCTCCACTATTGACTTTCCATGCCTGAGAAACACTTCACCTAGTATGTGTTTGTATATGTGTGCATGTGTCTCCACAACTGATCCTTAAGTTCCTTCCTCTGAAATGTAGCTCACAACACTAAGCCCCCTTCCATACTGCCATATAATCCAGATTATCAAATCAGATAATCCACATTATCTGCTTAGAACTGGATTATATGAGTCTACACTGCCATTATCTTCTATATAAATAAAAATGTAATGTTCGTTTGTGGGATTAACATAACTCAAAAACCACTGGACGAATGGACACCAAATTTGGACACAATACACCAATCAGGCCAACGAGTGACTATCACTCATAAAAACACTGAAAAATACAGCAGAAGAGACTTAAAAAGCCAAAACAAAATTACATTACAACACATGCGCAAAACCACATACACATAGATAAACACACAAAACACATATACACAGACTGGGCCACAGCAACACATGGCAGGGGACGGCTAGTTATTATATAATCCAGCTGACTTCATTCCGAACTGCATCATCTGACAGTCTAAATGCAACCTCGGTTTAGGTCCCTTCTACGCTGCCATATAATCCAGTTCAAAGCAGATAATTCGGATTTTGTATGGCAGTGTAGAAAGAGCCTTAGTATTTGTTGGTGCTAACCAGGGATGGCCCTGCTTAACATTCAAGATCCGACTGGATCTAGTGCATTCAAGGTATTTAGGCCCTTTCTCCCTACTATAATGTTTTAGAAACTTGACTGTTCTTTTTTTCCCAAATGAGACCAAATTTGCTTCCAATAATAATAATAATAATAATAATAATAATAATAATAATCTTTATACCCTGCCACCATCTCCCCAATGGGGACTCGGAGCGGCTTACCTATGTCAAGCTCAAACAACACATTACATCAAGATAAAACCAAAACATAAACAACAAGCAGCAGCATCGAAATTACATTAAAAAGAACAAAAAGAAAAAACCAATAACAAAATAGCATTACAATAAAAAAAACAAAACAAAACCACAGACATACTTCCAAATCACAGTATCCTTATTGTAACCATTCACTTCTATGTTTTTCCTTATCACTTACTTTCAAAAACATTAGATTTGGCCAACCAATTTAGTACTATTTTAAACGGATTTTAATTTAATTTATTTCAATTTTTTACTTATTATGTAACTGCTATTTTATTTGTGTGTATATGGGTGGCATCGAATTGTTACTGGCTGTAAGCCACCCTGAGTCCCCCTCCAGGGGGTTGAGAAGGTCAGGATACAAATATTTGAAATAAATAAATTTCTCCAGAATCCTTAGAAGCATCTGTGTTTTGAAATGGGACTTTTCTGGATTAAAAAAATCTAGTTTGCTTAGGAGGGGGGCTATTATCAAGTGGTGACCCCCTGTGATGAAGAGCTAAGAGTGGGTTTTAATGGACTGGCAATTTCACCAATCTCTTTTTCCCCCTTACTTTTTTTGAATGCAGGCTGATGTTCATTATATTCTTAAACCTGCATCCTATTGTTTAATCTCAGCTGGAGTGGACAAACAGGGAATGGAAATCAGTGGGTGGTCAAATCCTTTTGGTTTGTCAGGTTTGCTCTAGTTGAGACTAACAATAGCATTCTGGTCCAAGCAGGTAATCTTATGTGTGTCTACTTGCAAGTCAAGTTAGGGAAAAGTCTTCTTCTAGAACACTTCCCCGGCATTTGCTTTGGTAGCTTGTTGTTGCATGTCTACAAGTCATGTTGACCTACAGCAACTCAGGGTGAACTTATCAGGGAGATTTCACAGCAAAATTTGCTCAGACAGTATTTTTTGGCTGTTTGAGCAGCTTTAAGAGTTTGATGAGCAGTATTTTTTCTGGGTTTTTTTAGATACTCAAAAGTTTGGCTTCGGAAGGTTTGGCAGATGCAGAAAAGTAATGAGAGGACCTTATAAGACCTTTATTCTTCACCTCTGTAGTTGAGGCTGCGCACATGAATAAGAACTACGTTTTTTTGCTGGCTTTATTATCTAATGCAATAATATTTTCAAAGGCTTTCACAACTGGAATCACTGAGGTGTTGTGTGGTTTCCAGGCTGCATAGCCACATGCTACTAGCATACGGTTGCTAGAACACTGCCATACTGACCGTAAACCACAAAATACTACAATAATTGTATTGTCAAAGGTTTTCATGGCCGGAATCACTGGGTTGTTGTAGGTTTTTCAGGCTGTGTTCTATTAGGTTGTTGTGAGTTTTCCGGGCTGTATGGCCACATTTTAGAAGCATTATCTCCTGACATTTCGCCTGCATCTATGGCAGGCATCCTCAGAAGTTGTGAGGTCTCACAACCTCAGAGGATGCCTGCCATAGATGCAGGTGAAACATCAGGAGAGAATGCTTCTAGAACATGGCCATACAGCCCGGAAAACTCACAACAACCTAATAATAATAATAATAATCATCATCATCATCATCATCATCATCAAATAATAATAATAATAAACTCACAGCAACCGAGTGATTCCGGCCATGAAAGCCTTCGACAACACATTGAACAACCCACAATAATTGTGTTTGGCATGAATTCATACCATTTTCCAACCTTTCACATAATCAAATGTTGAAAGGATGCAAAATGTTCTAGCTGATGTCCGCTACAGAGAGCAAGAGAATTGAAGATTAGTATCTTCTGAATTTGCTCAGTCTACAGATATACCACTAAATCACTCCTTCCTCTCCAGCATTACCAAATGTGGACTGCATTCCCTCTTCCTGCCAATGTTGGAGTTGATGGTGGTTATGGACCAAATTATGGGCACTCTGGTTGGAAACGCCTGTGAAGTGTGTTTGTTCTTTTCTCTTGCTCACAGGCAGAAAAAATGCCTTTTTGAAACTGATACCTAAACTTGGTCTCTTTATTTTATGCCTGCTACCCTGTATCTCTCTCACGTGTATGGCATGCTACCAATTTCTCGGTAAATACTACACTAAAATATTACAAATTTGACAAATATTCTGTTCTCGGTTTGAAAGTGTTATTTCCTGTTTAATTGTGCAGTACCTACTTTGAAAGTAGTTGTTAATCTCCAGAAACTTTGCTTTTGTCACAAACTATGTTGAACTAGGCGAGATACTATCGATATTCATTGAAAAACTATAGCAAAATGTGCTGCAGGATGTCTCAAGTTTTTGCAGTTTATTAAACCTTTTCCATGTTTTCATGATAGAACTAATTAGGAAACGACATTTATAACCTGGAAACCAAAATCATGTTACATAGTGTTGTTGTTGTTGTTGTTGTTGTTGTTGTTGTTGTTGTTGTTGTGTGCCTTCAAGTAGTTTCCAAGGTATGGCAACCCTAAGGCAAAGTCATGGGTCTTCTGGGCACAATGTAGGTCAGAGGAGTTTGCCATTGTTTGCCTTTCAGCTTGAGCGAATATAACTTGCTCAAAGTCATCCATGGCTAAGTGGGGATTGATTCCACAAGATAATGAATTTTGAAGGTAGGCAATTGAGACATTAAGTGAGGGGGTACTAAGATGTTGCAAGGGGATGTAGTTCAGTGGTAAAGCACATGCTTTGCATGCTTGCGGCCCTGGGTTTGATCCCCAGCATCTTTATCTTAGGAAGCCCCCAGTGGTGCAGCAGGTTAAATTGGCTGGTTTTGTCAAATTTTCTGGTATTTTAGCTACACTGTATTGTTTTGGTAGTGGAAGAAGTCTATGTGGTGACAACATGAATTACTGCACTGGGTGACACCAACCCCAGCAATGCATTTTTGGTTTCTCCCATCTGTTCTTCAATTAACAATGCATGTATTGAGGTGTGAAGTTAGTGCAGGAAATAAGTGGCAATTTAAGAGGAAGGACTACAGCAAAGTGAATGTGTATTGTGTGTTTTATCGGAGTCTGTTGGGAAACAGGAGGCTATGGAAAGACTTGGAAGACAACAGACATTGCGGAAGAAACAAACTAGAGAGCACTCAATTGACCGCAAAAAGAGATGACAAGTCTCCAAAGTGCTCAATAGTCTTACTCTAAATTCCCAATACATTTCAGCAATCTCTCACTCTCAATGGATTTCATCAGGGGCAAGGTGAAATCTGACTGCAGAAAGTTCCAAGGTCTAACTTATTTCTGTAGTTAGAATTTGTATTGCCATACACACACATACATATATACATGAGGGTTGAATGAAAAGTAATGCCTCCACCTTTGTTACTTGGGTTTGGAAGGGAATATTTTAATAAATCAAATGCAGAAATAACCCTTAGAATGTGCTCTTTAACTTGTTTGAAATTTCTCTCTGAGTGATACGACGATTGTCCTGAATCAGTCTGTCAACCTTTTGCTTGTGAAACTTTGTGGTTGCTGTCACAGGATGTCCAACTCTTTGTTTGTCACGCAAGTCATATGTTCCCACCTCAACATCTTTAAACTTACTCACCCAATGACGCACAGTACTCACATCAACACAATAATCATAAACAGCTTGCATTATCTGATGAATCTCCTTTGGGATGATGCCTTCTGTTGTCAAGAATTCAATGACTGTACGTTGCTTAAATCACATTGACTGACAGTCTGTGCAGAGTTCCATACTTTGCACTTTAACAACACAACCGTTTAATGCTAAGGCTTCCTGCCAAAATGAAACTGTATAGGAGAGTCTACCGAACAAGCCAGTACCTGCCGCATACCAGTACTGCCATCTGTTGCGCTACGAAGGTGGAGGCATTACTTTTCATTCAAGCCTTGTATATATTGAACTATACATAGGGCAAAATACATTTAGACTTTTCCAGCATAGAACAGCCATATTGTGAACACTGGAGGTGTGTCTCCTTTTTCCCTGTGGACAACAGGCACTGCAGACTGTCAGAATATTGGGCAGAAGAATGTGGAAAATTGTTCTGCAAGAGAAAGCACCAAGATAGGCATTTCCAAGATTAATGTGGTCTTCTAGATCATATTCACCTGCGGCTCCCAGTATTCTTTAGTATTATTTATGCTACCTAGATTTACAATTCAATTGTATCTTAAAGATCAGCTATTTCCACCTGATTGGTTGCTGCAGTCCATAATATTTGTGTAGGTATGACATTTGGAGTTTGATTTCCCCCTTGGAGTTATGAAAGATTACAGTGCAATGGAAGTGAGTGTGTGACTGGACTGTAACTTGGAGCAGTGATGTGACTACTCACATGGCCATGGAGCTCAAAGGGTCAATGGGTCAGTTACTTTTTCTTAGCCCAACCTACTCTGCAGTGTTACTGTGAAGATAAAATATGGAGGAGGAGAGCCATGAATGCTATTGAAGAGAAGGCAGGATATATGAGGCCTGAAACTATTTTCCCCTCTTCTCCCTCTCTCTAAAGGAGCTGAAAGAATCTGCAACAGAGCTGCTTTTTGGTGGGCATGAGACCACAGCCAGTGCTGCAACATCCTTGATTATCTTTCTGGGCCTTCATCATGAAGTGTTACAAAAAGTGAGAAAGGAATTGCAAGAGAAGGTAAGTGATCTCTCAGAACACCATGAGCTGAGCACATTTAAAATGTTATAAATAACTAGACAGAATGATGAGCAAATACTGTTGGAGGAAGTCTCCACTGGGGATGTTTATCTTTCTAGAGCAGTGGTTCTTAACCTGTGGGTCCCCAGGTGTTTTGGCCTGCAACTCCCAGAAATCCCAGCCAGTTGTTAGGATTTCTGGGAGTTGAAGGCCAAAACATCTGGGGACTCACAGGTTGAGAACCACTGGCCTAGAGTTTAAACTCTTTTCAACTCTGGTGATTGAGGTCCTCCACCAGTACTAAAGGAGTATAGACTATAGATCTTACCACTTGATCCCACTAAAGAAAAAATCCATTTAAAATCCGGTTTCTGCCTCCTGCAGAATTCTGGGGTTTGTAGTTTAGTGAGTCTGTTAAAGGCTCCCTCAGACAAAGGACTTTATCACATTGAGATACTTAAGCTGGGGGATAGCGGGGAAATCTGGGGCAGCAAGGCAAATCCATCGAGCAGCATGGAAAACCATCCTCAAGCACCTCACATTGACCCCTTCCCATCACACATGAGAAGCCATCACTGCCCGGCCTCCCCCCGTGTTGTCCCTGGCTTAACTAATGAGAACACAGGTAGCCACCAATGTTCTCAGGGCTCTGTCCTAGGAATCTTCCAGGATGGAACCAGGACAGAGTCCTGCCAAAAGTAGCCCTGCATCATGTGATGGGCTCTGGTGGGCTCCATCTTGGAAGTGTAGTAGACTATCCGTATTCTCAGGGCTCTGTCCTACTACACTACCTGTATTCTCATTAGTTAAGCCAGGGACACTCAGGGGGGAGTCCTGACCCCATGTGATGAGGTCCTAAATATTTGTCCCAACTGAAGTAAACCCATTGAATGAAAACAATTTGATTATCCGAGACCTATCTGAGTTCGATCGATTGAATGGGCATGCCTGCTTTAGGACTAAGAACTGGATTTAATCCCTAATATTTAGCGGATCTAAAATCTATTAGAATCAAAGTAACAGATTTGAAGTACTTTTGTTTGGTTTTTAGAAAAGGGGGCAATGAAATGGTCAATATTTTTGTGTTTAATGCAATGTAATTTCCGAAGAAGGATTCTTTAAAAGGAATATCTGTCCTTGCACTTGTGTGGTTTCTATTTCAGTGTCTATGACACTGACTTGAAAGCAGTGTGCTTTTTCTAGTTTAAATATTTTATTTTCCAGGCTATTTGACGATCGCATCTCCTCTTACAAACCAGCCCAGGGACTGTGGTCATTGGAGAAGGCCCTGCTCTTGCTCCCACCCCCATCTCAAGCACGGCTGGTGGGAACTAGAGTGAGGGCCTTCTCAATGGTCACTCTCCACCTCTGGAACTCCCTCCCTAAAGAAATAAAACCACCCCTCCCTCCTCTCCTTCAGAAAACAACTGAATACCTACTTTTGCTCACTAGCGTGGATAGGAGGAGGATTAGATGGTTGAGAGATCACTGCCGGGCCTCTGGTTGAGAATTATTTGTATTTGTGCTTTCGTGGTCCACTCCAGCCCAATGACCTCATTTGACTACATAACCAACCCATACCATTTTGTGAACCCTTGCTGGCTGTTGTACACTAATGTGAATGTTTTGTTTAGATTTATACTATTATAGAATTTTGTCTGATTATGTGTAGTTTAATTTATTGATGTCAGGTTTAATTTACTGATGTTAGGTCTTAATGTGATGTTAGGCTTTAATGTTACTTTATATGTGGAGGTTTTCTGGGATTTTATGTTAGTATCATGTGTGTTATGTAGGCATTGGATGTTTGCCATTGTTATGCTGGAATCCGCCAGGAGTCCCCTCAGAGAGATAGGGCAGAATACATATAAAGTTGTTGTTGTTGTTATTATTTTACTGACACAAAAACACAGTATGTCACAGCAAACGAGATATATATGCTGGATTTTGTATCATAAAACCACAAGTCGAACACTTCCCAAGCGTCTAGGACTGTGTGATTTTTTATTATTATTATTATTATTATTATTATTATTATTATTATTATTATTTCATCTGCACACTTCCTCAGAGTGTATGGACTCAATCAGTACTTTTCTCTCTCAATCTAATAGCAACAGTAATATGGAGACTTCTCTAACCCAGGTGTTATGCTTCCTGGTGTATACATTTCCTCCGCAAATAACACATAGGTGATTGAGTCTCTTGGGCATCTTCAAAGATGGCCAGCTATATGGGCGGAAATGTTTACATTGAACCTGTTGCAATTTGAGAGCACCCACAAAGATGGTAGCCACTCAACTGGCAGAAAGGGCATTGTAAAGTAGGAATTGGTAAGCAAGTCAGGTGGGCCCTAGTATTCTTGTCCCTTTGCAGGAAAAATAAACTGGAGTAGAATTCACTCCAACAGACATTGGAGGACTAGGTCTGGGAGGCCACTGTTACCTAAATGTTTCACTACAAGTCCTTTATATTGATATGTTATGTTTTATTTCTAGGGATTGCTAAGCAAACAGAGCCAAGAGAAGCCTTTGGAAATGGAGGTCTTGGAACAACTGAAATATACCGGCTGTGTGGTCAAAGAGACTCTGCGTCTGAGCCCACCTGTGCCAGGAGGATTCAGGGTGGCCCTCAAGACCTTTGAACTAAATGTAAGCAGGAGAAACCAGTTTTGGAAAAAGAGTAGTCCCTTTAACCAGGAAAATACGAGATAATAATTCATATGATCATTCCAAGTGTACAGTTTCATTCGGTACAGTCTTAATAATGGAGAAATAGCACCTGTTGGACACTGCATTCTTTGACAGGCTTTACATTTTTTTTTCTGCTATGTGTTACAGCTAACAATAACCCTTTTCTTAAAAATTTTCACACAATGAAACTATATTAAACATCAGCAAATACTTAATGATCTGACACCCAGGAACTTCACCAAGACAGGAACAACAACAACAATAAACTTTATTTATACCCCACCACCATCTCCCCAAAGGGGACTCGGGTTGTCTAACAGAAGGCCAAACCCAAAAATAATACAGCAAAATGAGATACAAAATAACAGAAAAATTACATCACAACAAAATACATAAAGTAACAAAATAAAATAAACTACTCCTTTGTGAGAACCTCCTTGCAGATAGGCTTCTTCCATCATACTCTGAAAACCTCACAATTTCATAAGGGTGCAACAACTGCATACACACACCACATTCATTCCACCTTTTATCATAAGGACTGTCTCAAATCCTGTACCATATTCAGATATAACCTTCTGTTATGCTTATAGATACCATTTTAAGATTATTGTGGAAAGAGGTATTTAGTACCTCCTTTGCAAAATGCAACCCTTAAAACGTGCACTTCTTGTGGCTGTTTAGTATCTGAGGGAGTGGGGAATACCCAGGCGGCCTTTAGCTGCATTTTTATGTCCAGATGCACAAAGGAGATAGGTTCCTTCTGGAAGTCATGTCCAGGCTGACAAAGGCTTATAGGAACTGGGGTCTAGGGTTTCCCACCTGTCTTCTAAAGGGCTCCCCCACTATGCTTGGGGCTCAACACATCCCTGGGGTAAATCCATAGGACAGGTGCTACTGTTTCCTTATTGATCTTCCATAATGTATCAAGGGGCTAGATGAGAGGTGTAATTCCCTCTTACTCTCAGTAGGAAACTCACCACTGAGGATGATAATGCTAGTGACATTTGATTGTTTATCACAGGGGTCCTCAAACTTTTTAAACAGAGGGGCAAGTCACAGTCCGTCAAACTGTTGGGAAGGCTGGATTATAATTTGAAAAAAATATGAATGAATTCCTATACACACTGCACATATCTTATTTGTAGTACAAAACCACTTAAAAACAATACAAAAATTAAAATGAAGAACAATTTTAACAAATATAAACTTATTAGTTTTTCAATGGGAAGTGTGGACCTGTTTTTGGCTGATGAAATAGGATTGTTGTTGTTGTGTGCTTTCAAGTCGTTTCAGACTTAGGTTGACCCTGAGTGAGGGCCGGGTAAATGACCTTGGAGGGCCGTATCCGGTCCATGGGCCTTAGTTTGAGGACCCCTGGTTTATCATATATATCAATAGCAGTTTAAGACTTCATCACATGGGCAAAATCGCCTGTCCTATGACAGTTCCACCTCAATTCAGGCACGGAGCTGCTGGTCCCATCACACAATGTAGATCTACTTCTGGCAGGGCTCAATTTATTTATTTATTTTATTTATTTGGAGTGCTTCTACCCCGCCCTTCTCAACCCCCTGGGGGGGACTCAGGGCGGCTTACAAAAGGCAGAATTCGATGCCCAATAGTTCACTTAATACAATATACAAAATACAATATAACGACAACAGTTATAACTAGTTAAAACAATCAAATTAATACAATAGCAGCAATAAAATCATCTTGTGGTCAACGTTCACCAATTCATAAATCCATAATCCATCCAGCATTGTCATTGTCCTTTCCTACTCTGGTTCTCAAGGGCCTAAAGTGAGGTCAAACTGTCCTAAGAGGCACTAGCAAGAACACAGGAGGCTTCCTGTGTTCCATAGAGAAGAATGGATGGAAGCTGGACAGTGTGGGATGAGATACAGGACGATGTGGGCAATGTGGGGCACGGAACACCGATTTCCCAGTTCCCCCCACCGGATTCTCCATGATTTATAGCGAATCCCCCCACTATTACCCACAAGTTAGACCTCTGGTTGCTAGTCTGCACATAAGCACACTAAGAGGAATATATAGAGGTTTTTTTAGAAGTACAGAGGAAGTCTCTCTCCCTGTTAGACCGGGGAAGGTCCCCACTCTGTCCTGTGAGGACTCCACTTTGCTGCAGAAAGCATAGAAGAGGATAGAAAATGAAATATTTTGTTGCAGGCTTCACTTGGGCTAGGAGTGAGAAAATGTGCATACACAGGACATAAATCAATCAATAAAAATAACTAATGTATGAGCAGGAAAAGGCAAAAACCAAATTACAGGTGAAATGAGGCTATCAAGCTACAGCCCTGGGTTTGCAAGACTTGAGCAGACCTGGGGCTCCTGGAGTTCCCTCCATTTGTAGGGTTATCATACACTAGCCTGCCTGGGCCCTTCCATATTCTGTTAGATTCCAAATCCCAGCAGTCATAACTGAGGATACCCATGATTGGGTATAATGTTGCCTAGTATCATCTGGCTCACTGATTAAATCTTCTTTTTTCCATCTTTGGACACATCATTCTTATAATAGTTCTGACAACTGTTGTCATCTCAGGCATACTTGGAAAGATTTTATGCTTGCAATATATGTGTTGGGGAGGAAATGGCTGGGTACACAACACAAGGACATTGTCCTGGAGCCTGTGTAGTGGTTTGAGTGCTGAATGAATACTCTGGTAGACAAGGTAGTCTGGATGAATACTCTGAGAGACTCCTCTTTAGACGCATACATCTAATGAAGTGTTTCTCAACCTTGATAGTGCTGTGACCCCTTAATACAGTTCCTCATGTGGTGACTCCCAACCGTAACATTATTTTTGTAGCTACTTCATAACTCCATTTTTGCTACTGTTATGTAAATATCTGATATGCAGGATGTATTTTCATTCACTGACCCCAAATTTTGGCACAAATACCCGATATACCCCAATTTTAATACTGGTAGGGTTGGGGGGGGTGTTTTTTGTCATTTGGGAGTTGAAGTTGCTGGGATTTATAGTTCACCCACAATCAAAAAGCATTTTGAACCCCACCAGCAATGGAATTGAACAAAACTTGGCACACAGAACTCCCCTGACCAACAGAAAATACTGGAAAGGTTTGACGGGCATTGACTTGTGAGTTTTGGAGTTGTAGTTCACCTACATCCAGAGAGCACTATGAACTCAAACAATGATAGATCTGGACCAAACTTGGGATGAATATTAATTATGCCCAAATGTGAACACTGGTGGAGTTTGGGGGGAATAGACCTAGACATTTGGGGGTTGTATTTGCTGGGATTTATAGTTCACCTAGAGTCAAAGAGCATTCTGAACCCAACCTATAATATAATTGGACCAAACTTCCCCCACAGAACCCTCATGACCAACAGAAAATACTGTTTTTTTCTGATTATCTTTGGTGACCCCACTTGACACCCCTTCATGACCCCTTCAGGTTGAGAAACACTGATCTAATGGGTGGTTTGAAGTAAGTTATATTCTCCCAGCCTAAGCAGAGGGCAATGGCAAACCATCTCTGAAAAATTCTTCATAAGTAAAATCTGTGATAGGGCTGAGAAAAGTTAACTATAAGGCACACAACAAACAACATATGAGGTAAACCTCTTTACCTCTTTTGTGTTATTATTCCTCTTTTGTTTTGTTTCTTATAGGGATACCAGATTCCTAAAGGCTGGAATGTTATTTACAGTATTTCTGACACCCATGAAGTTGCCGAGCTGTTCACCGACAAAGATGAATTCAATCCCGATCGCTTCATGTCTCCTTTCCCGGAGGATGTCTCACGATTCAGTTTCATTCCCTTTGGAGGCGGCTTGAGAAGCTGCGTGGGCAAAGAGTTTGCTAAAATTCTCCTCAAAATCTTTACTGTTGAATTGGCCCGGAATTGTGACTGGCAACTTCTAAATGGACCACCAACAATGAAGACAGGCCCTACCGTGTATCCTGAGGACAATCTGCCTACAAAATTCACAAGTTTTAATGGTCAGGTCTAACAAATTCAGTTTAAATCATGCACAATGGCTTTTTATAGTGCCCTAAATCCAATATTATATATTTAACTTTATGAATGTGTGATAGATATTTATGTGTTTTTCTAAGAATATTTTAAAGCTATTTCATATATAAACTTTGGTGTGTGTGTTTTTTTTAAAGTAAGCACTATAATTATGGGTCCTTGGGATTCATAGTTGGATAATTTTATTTCTATAGAAATAAAGTGTCCTACCATTTAAGAAGCATTCTCAAACTTTGTTTCCTTTATTTTGAAAGCATTTCAAAATTGTGTGGATTACACTTGTATCACAGCACACGATGACAAGTAAAAGTAAAAACTTGAAGACAATGAATTTAAGTGCACATGGTGGAAAAAAGTGATGTGGCTTATGTAAAAATAAATCTGATGCACAAATTGTTTATGGTTGCTTATGTTTGTGGAAAATACAATTCAGTGCCAAAGTCCTGTTGTTAGCTATCGATCAAAATAGGTTTGTGCTGGTGGTGTTATAACGGCATGACCAATTTCTATTTTCTTTAGACCAGAAAGGGACAACCTGGTGTCCTCCAGATGTTTTGGATGACAACTTCTTTATTTATTTAGTACATTTCTATACTGCCTGGGAAGATGTGAACTCAACGATGGACAGGGTATAGGGATTTTATCTTTGAAGATCCCCATCGCTATCACCAATTGCGAGGAGGTGCTTGTGTGTTGCTGAGGTTGGCAACGGCAGGCCCTATTAATGGAGGTATTTTACCTCAGGCACTTTTTAATCCCACCGCTGCCACCAATTGTACAGATGTGGATGTTATGGAGGGAATTTACCTCAGGCCTCAATTGTGTAGAAGAGTATATTATGGAGGAGGCCAATTATTATTAGTAAATTAAGGTAACTGCCACCAACGTGAGGTATTTGAGGTACCACCGATGAGATCTGGCTCTACAGACGCAGATTAGTTGAGATGAGACGGTTTTCAACAAAAGATAACAAGTTTATTGTGTACAAAGCTTATGGTTGCAGGCTGTTAAATAACTTATGGAACTTTGAATATCACGTGGTTTATAATACAGTCCACTCTTCCAGATAACACAGCTTGTGGCTAACTTTCACTGAGGTGAAGCTCTCTAGTGAACAATGTTTCACTACTATAAATAGCCTTTCAATTTGATCTTCCCTCGATCAAATCTCTGATCTCTAGTCCTTCCTTAACTAGGGATCTTAACTAGGCTTCCTTTAGTCTTCTTTGACTAAAGAATCTGGCCAGGTTTCTTTCTTCAGCCCTCCTAGACTGATAAAACACCAGCCGCTCACACACAAGTCTCTCTCTCAGGCCTTTCCAAGCCTCACTCTCAGGCCTTTTTAAAAAACGCACATAACTTTTCCTGCTTGGTTCCGCCCACTTCTCCCTCTCATGAGCTAGCCAGCCTCGTCTCCTTGGCAACGCTCACTGTGGATTCAAACCGGATGACTCCAGTTTTAGCTACTATTACAAACACAAATACATACTCTAACAGTTAAACACAAACATAATAACAATGACTTCTGCACACCGCCCCTCTCAGCCTTCCGGCAACTCGAGGCAGTTTACAAGGCAAGAGTTCAATGCCACCCAATTACAATATACAATATAAAAAACATCAGCAACAATAAAATCAAACATTATAATGAAACATACTTCAATCGATAATCATTAAAACAATGTCCAGTTCCGCCATATAGTTATTTCATTATTATATTCGTTACTCCGTATTTTCAAATGCTCACTCAAATAGCCATGTCTTAAGATTCTTCTGGAATGATTTGTGCCAAATTAATGCAGGATTGCCCAGAACGTCATCTGGACAGCCCCCTTTTTTCCGCAATAAAGGGGCTGTTTGGACAGGCCCTATGATATCCTTGCCCCATTGTTTCAGGCAGTTATCTTCTTTAACTAAAACACTGGTATGCATTTAAGAGATTTTTAAATGAGGAAAAGGAAAGAATGATAGGAGAGCATCCAGCATTATGAATAAGAGGAGGAAAAGATACTAAAATAAACCTTGGTTTTTGATCTTTTTTTGGGACTGTCTCTTTCCTTATGTGCTCCCATGATGTGGATCTAAGAAGACCAAATTTAGGGTCTCTAACAGAACCTTTCTGAGCCCTAATGTGTACCTATCAGCACTTCCCATGAACCATTCTACTCAGAATTAAAAATATGGTGCTTGGGCCATATTGTTCCTACACTCACATTGTCTAAAATACCATGCTGGTACTTTGAGGGAAAAAGCAATGACCTACTTGGATTCGTGTATTACCCTAAAGTGAGAGGCTGCTCCATGTTAAATCTGTAGCCTTTTTCAAAATGAAAAGTTTCTTCATGAAGAAGACTGATAGCCTGGCAGCATACGCAGATGCTACCCTTCAAGTGACTGCTGCACTCCTCCTCTGTTTCTGCTGACCTTTATGCTCAAGTAATGGGTCATGGAAAGTACTCTCTTTCCAGCCCCCCTCCCTTGACCTTTTGATGGAAAGTACCTTCTTGTACCTGCAGACTCTGTGCTTAACCACAACCTTTGGCTTAACCACAACACAACTTCCTATGTGAGTTTGAACTTTGTATGACCTCTACATGTCAGACCTTGTTTCTTAAAAACATTTTCTTCCGTGTTGCTCCTTTTCTACAGAGAAAGGATATATTTCTCTTTTGCTGTTAATTTCATTCAAAGCCCCTTGCTTAGCATTTGCAAATTTCACTCACCACCCTTACAGTTCCTTTTGGGGGGCTATGGGGAAGCCAGTATGTGTGTATGTAATGAACAGTATTTCGACACTAGGTTTCTAGTCCCCACTGACACATAAAACTGAGTGGGGCCATATAAAATCCAGATTATCTTTGAACTGGATTATATGTCAGGGTAGACTCCTATACTTCAGTTCAAATCAGATAATCTGGATTATTTGTTTTGATAACATGGATTATATGGCAGTGTAGATCCAGCCTGGGTGTTATTGAGAGATCTAACTTTTTCGGCTGACCCCTCTTAAGAGACCTATTGTAAATATAAAGGCGGAGGGAGGTGAATCATGTTTACTTCAGCATATTGGAGGAAGTGTGGGGTTTAAAGGGAATACATCAACAAGAAAATCTGGCTATGCATGGACGTGTATTCTGTTTTAATAGGGCAGACTCTGATGATTCCGGTTTTGCTCCTTGGTTATGAAGTCAATTAAAGGAATCTCTTAAACTCAGTCTGAAAATGCTCATCACTACACAAGCACAGTCTTCTGGTGCTGTTGGATTACAACTGCTACTATCCCCAGTGATTATGACCCACCATTACCTCTACTAAGTTAGTTTGCAGGTGTAATTGATTCCCCCATCCCTCTGCAAGACTCTTCTAAGGAAATGCACAAATAGACCATGATGGATAACATGGCCTGGGAATGACCCTCTGGACCTACTCTAACCTTTAAAAACTTCTGTTTGGTCACATTATTCTCCTCTGATCTTGGAGAGCCGCAGTTTGAGAACCCGTGGCCTACACTAAGCTAACTAAACTGTTCCTCATTGAGGACTTGAGGTTTGAGCAGTGTGGGGTTGAATTCCAACAACCGTCACTAATGTTTGTTTTTTGGTTATTAATGATTTTGCATCATGAGAATTTTTGTCAAAACATGTACTTCCAGTCTGGAATACTAGTCAGTTACAAAATACCCTTTCCCAATGTCTCACAACCTCTGAGGATGCTTGCCATAGATGCAGGCGAAATGTCAGGAGAGAATGCCTCTAGAACATGGCCACATAGCCCGAAAAAACCTACAACAACCCAGTGATTCTGGCCATGAAAGCCTTCGACAATACTGTGAACATATTGTTACCTTTCTTTTATAACATATGTGTCCATGCAGTGACAAATATGTGGGACAATAAATAGCAACCTTTCTCTTGAGTATCGAAATGTGAAGGTTGGTAAATGTGTATAAGCAGAATAAGCAGAAGCTTTACCACAGGATTTAAACCAAGGTATATCCTGCTGTATAATAAAATGTCACTCAGGCTTGTGAAACAAATAACAAACAGTATCTTTACTTTAGTTCAAAAGTTCAAACATAGTAACAATGTATACATCAGTTTCTTTGAATACAGGCAGAGAACAGAGGAATAAAACAGCCCTTTTAAAATAGTCTTTGAAATAAGCCTCATGCCTTAAAATGAGCAGTCCTTAAGATAGTGAGAACAAAAGGCAGAATGACAGTTAGAACCGTTGGCCTCAGCAGCTTGCCAGTGGCAGCAGCCAATCAGAACCCTGGCCCCTGGCATACTCAGCCAATCGGCTGTTGACACATCTCTCTCCAGTTAACCCACCATATCATGGCATTCTTTTTCAAATCCTAACGAGAAACATTTCATTAGCAACAGCATCCTAATAAGCAGAAGCTTTACCATAGTATTTAAACCATGGTATATCCTGCTGTATAATAAAATGTCACTCAGGCTTGTGAAACAAATAACAGTATCTTTAGTTCAAAAGTTCAAACATAGTAACAATGTATACATCAGTTTCTTTGAATACAGGCAGAGAACAGAGGAATAAAATAGCCCTTTTTAAATAGTCTTTGAAATAAGCCTCATGCCTTAAAATGATCAATCCTTAAGATAGCTGGCAGTCAGCAATACCTATTCACTGTATAAAGTGAGAACAAAAGGCAAAATGACAGTTAGAACCATTGGCCTCAGCAGCTAGTCAGAGGCAGAAGCCAATCAGAACCTGGGCACCTGGCACACTCAGCCAATTGACTGCTGACACATCTCTCTCCAGTTAACCCACCATATCAACCAGATACAGTGAAGACATCTGCCCTTGCGCTATGCTACTCTGCTGCTGAGTATGCATGCCCAGTTTGGAACACATCTCACTATGCTAAAACAGTGGATGTGGCTCTTAATTAGACATGCTGCATTATCACGGGGTGTCTGCGCCCTACACCACTGGAGAAATTACACTGTTTAGCTGGTATTGCACCACCCGACAACCACTGGCGAGTGGCAACCAGTAGTGAAAGGACCAAGGCAGTGACATCTCCGGCCCATCCCCTGTTTGGGTATCAGCCAGCACGGCAATGACTTAAATCAATAAATAGTTTCCTAAGATCTACAGAGACACTTGCTGGAACACCTCAGCAAATGAGAGTCCAAAAGTGGCAGGCTCAAACCCAGAACCTCAATCAATAGCTGATACCAAATGAGAGGCTCCCCC